ATTACGGACCTTATTTTGAAATTAGTGTCTATTCTCCAGATATATAGCAGGGACACGAGACCAGATACAGCAGTAGTATTCAATGCATGGACGAAGGGCAGATTTGTAAATGTGCAAGATGGATTCTGGTGAGAAAAATTGTCTGTGAACCAACTTTCCGAGCGGTAGACGTAGCCTTTAATTCAATATAATCGTTCCACTTCATGTCAACGGAAAAGTTGATTCCAAGAAGTCAGAAAGTGTTGCTCTCCTGGGACATCTTTTTTTTAATCATTTCATTTCAATGCGACTAAGACACCAGGGGTTACTGAGAGTAAAAGAGAATGAGATGTTAGTGGGAAGAAAGGACAATAAAAGAACAGAATTTAGAAAGACAGAAAATGGCAGGTAATTTTTTTAGACTGCAGGTAAATTTTTGAACATTGTAATTGGTAAGGAAGTAAGAAACCAAAAGAGTTTTGCTTGTGAGAAATGTGAGATAAGAAACTATTAGAATAGAAATTATGCTTATATATATATATATATATATATATATATATATATATATATATATATATTGTTTTCAACAGTAAAATTATGAAATCTAGTTGCCAATCTAGTAGTAATGCTTAAATTCATGCAGTCAAGGTATCAAGAACAAAAGCTCGACAGAACAATTGCCATGAAAAATATTTATAGAAAAAGCAAAAAAAGCCACATCATGGTGGTGAGAAAACTTTTTTTGAATTTAAAATGACAGGTAAGGATCGATTACATTACAGACCCTACGTTGAATTTTATCAACAATCTTGTGATATATGTATAGTAGGAGTACTAGATCAGAAATGGCAACAATATTCCATACACAAATGAATGACATATTTATAAATGTGCAAGATGTATTCTGATGAGAAAAATTGTCTGACAAGAAACAGTAAACCAACTTTCCTAGCAGTAGACGTAGCCTTTAATTCAATATAATCGTTCTACTTCATGTCAATGGAAAAGTTGATTCCAAGAAGTCAGAAAGTGTTGCTCTTCTAGAACATTTTTTTTTTTAATCATTTCACTTCAATGCCAATAAGACACTAGGGGTTACTGAGAGTAAAAGTTCAATGAGATGTTAGTGAGAAGAAAGGACAATAAAAGAACAGAATTCAAGAAGACAGAAAATGGCGATTGACACTGCAGGTAAATTTTTGAATATTGTAATTGGTAAGGAAGTAAGAAACCAAAAAGAGTTTTACTGGTGAGAAATGTGAGATAAGAAACTATTAGAATAGAAATTATGAAATTATATATTTTATATATATATATATATATATATATATATATATATATATATATATATATAGTTGTTTCAACAGTAAAATGATGAAATCTAGTTGCCAATCTAGTAGTACGCTTAAATTCATGCAGTCAAGGTACCAAGAATGAAAGGTCATTAGAAGAATTGTCATGAAAATATTTCTAGAGAGTCCATGTCATGACAGTGGGAAAGTGACTGAAGTCACGATGCCAATAACATTACAGACTCTTTGGATTTTGTTGAGAATCTCCAGATATATCGTAGCAGGAGCACCAGAAATTGCGGTAATATTCAATTCATAGATGAATGGTAGATTTATAAATGTGTAAGATGGACAAGAAAAATTGTCTGGCATGACACAGTGAACCAATTTTCCTAGCAGTAGACCTAGTCTTTAATTCAATATAATCTTTCCACATCAGGTCAGTGGAAAAGTTGATTCCAAGAAGTCGGAAAGTGTTACTCTCCTGGGACATTGTTAAAAAAATACATTATAAATAATCATTGCTGCGTTATCAACTTAGACTAGCATATTCCCAACAACTTTGGTTGCTTACACTCCAAGATGGAGTAAAGTAGAATTTCCTGGTGTGCAGGAGAATGGCTTGCATTCTTGAGTGATCTGTCCCTTAGCTGCAAGCGTGCTTTGAGAGAGTTAAGGACTGTTACTCACCATTCTCCTATCATATCCACTGAATTTTTAATTAAAATTCTATTTTATTGTAACTATATTTTAGCATAACTAATGGAGTACTAATAATATGTCTGAACGGAGTGATCTGATAATGGGTGCCTTATGAAAGAAAAGTTTATTCTCCCTGTCTTCATTCTCCCCCATTATGAGTATTATTATATACATGATATAATAACACATTATTTCACGGACGGAACGGTAAGGTTTTAAAAAAAAAGTAAAGACAAACATGCATTGCTAGTTTTCTGCCTCTAAATCCTACACAAAAAATGTATATACATATTTATACATGTCCCACGTAGAGAAACTATATCATATGTCTACAACTACAAGCAGTGTTTCAAAGAGAGAGAGAGAGAAGAGAAGAGAGAGAGAGAGAGAGAGAGAGAGAGAGAGAGAGAGTTTTAGTTTTTTTATGAACCTGGTAAGAGAGATGAGAGAGAGAGAGAGAGAGAGAGAGAGAGAGAGAGAGAGAGAGAGAGAGAGAGAGAGAGAGAGAGAGAGAGAGAGAGAGAGAGAGAGAGAGAGAGAGAGAGAGAGAGAGAGAGAGAGAGAGAGAGAGAGAGAGAGAGAGAGAGAGAGAGAGAGAGAGAGAGAGAGGGAGAGAGAGAGAGAGAGAGAGAGAGAGAGAGAGAGAGAGAGAGAGAGAGAGAGAGAGAGAGAGAGAGAGAGAGAGAGAGAGAGAGAGAGAGAGAGAGAGAGAGAGAGAGAGAGAGAGAGAGAGAGAGAGAGAGAGAGAGAGAGAGAGAGAGAGAGAGAGAGAGAGAGAGAGAGAGAGAGAGAGAGAGAGAGAGAGAGAGAGAGAGAGAGAGAGAGAGAGAGAGAGAGAGAGAGAGAGAGAGAGAGAGAGAGAGAGAGAGAGAGAGAGAGAGAGAGAGAGAGAGAGAGAGAGAGAGAGAGAGAGAGAGAGAGAGAGAGAGAGAGAGAGAGAGAGAGAGAGAGAGAGAGAGAGAGAGAGAGAGAGAGAGAGAGAGAGAGAGAGAGAGAGAGAGAGAGAGAGAGAGAGAGAGAGAGAGAGAGAGAGAGAGAGAGAGAGAGAGAGAGAGAGAGAGAGAGAGAGAGAGAGAGAGAGAGAGAGAGAGAGAGAGAGAGAGAGAGAGAGAGAGAGAGAGAGAGAGAGAGAGAGAGAGAGAGAGAGAGAGTTGTTTTCACTGTAAGACCTCTGTGAGCTAAGGACATGCTTTCTCTCCGGTATTTAGATCGCAACTGGTCTTCGTCTCTCCATTACGTGACTCGGCGACTGTCGCGTGACTGACCCTCGTGAATTTATCTCAACGAAACGAAAGAGAGATAATCGCCTTTTGTATCCTTACATAACTAATTAATTTCTCAATTCAGTTCTCTTTTGTCAATCAAGACAGAATCAAGAAATCGCCTAAAACCACAGGAAGACCCACCGATGGCAGTCTCAGAAAGATTTCCAATTTTGAGAAAATCAAAAACAAGTTGCATGACAAAAATAGTCAATTTTATTTTTCATAATTTTGGTTTCATTTTAATGTTTACAAATTTAACAAAAAAAAAAAAATGATCAATTAATAGTTGCATTTGTGCAGATCTAAACGCTTATTTTCCACCCTACAACCCCTTTTCCCAAAGACCAAAAGTCATAGGCCTCTCGCTACTCTATCACTATTTCGATGGAAAGTCCTCAGACGAACTACATTCCTTAGTTGCACCAGTTGTAACCTACACGACTAAGACCCGCCATTATACTACTTGCATTATAGCAAACTACCATCCGTATTCCCTTGGTGAGGAGTAAGTTTCACACTTACTGCAATCCAATGTTCAGTGGACCTGACAAGCAAGAGGATGTTTTCCTGATTACAAAGATCCTAACCTCTTCAAATGTAGGATTAATCCAGATAAAATGTGCCTCTTAGTCTGTAACCTCTGGCTCCTGGGTCTCTTACAAAGTGAACCTCAATGTAAAAAAAGTTAATATTTTCTAAACGTGGAATCTTCTTTGCATTTGGGCAGAGTTAAAAGCTTATTTAAGTTCAAATTCTTCTCCTACTGTGATGTTTCTGTTTCTTCGTTTCAACCTGTGAAGAAAATTTGTTGGACATTCAGCCTTCCTCAGGTTCTTGTGGGGGTAATGGGTCATTACCAGGCCGCACTGGACCAATGTATATTGGTAAGGGCGGTTGGAACACATTGATGATCATATATATATATATATATATATATATATATATATATATATATAAAATGGACAAAATCCGACAATTATTTTAAGACATTTTTATGCTTATACATTCTTTTATAGATACAAATTTTAAGCAAATTTGTTTATAATAAACAGTATTAAACAACATTTACCGGCCTGAAAATGTTTAATACTGTTTATTATAAAATAAGCATTTACTTAAATATTTGTATCTATAAAAAGAATATATAAAATTAAAAAATGTCTTTATATATATATATATATATATATATATATATATATATATATATATATAACATAAATTATATATTTATTTAAAATTCATTTTATGTTTAACGTTGTTATTTATAGATACAAGTATTTAAGCAAATGCTCTGTTTATGATAAACAGTATTAAATAACATAAACAGAGCATTTGCTTAAATACTTGTATCTATAAATAACAACGTTAAACATAAAAATGTTTTTAATAAATAAATTGTCGGACCTTGTCCATTTTTGAATATATATATATATATATATATATATATATATATATATATATAAAACAACATTTTCAGGTCAGTAAATGTTGTTTAATACTGTTTATTACAAACAGCATTTACTTAAATATTTGTACCTATAAAAAGAATGTATAACGATAAAAAATGTCTTTTTATATATATATATATATATATATATATATATATATATATATATATATATATATATATGTATTTGATTTACGATGGCTCAAAGGTATTTTTAAATTAGTATTAAAGTAATACCGACTGAATTCGAACACTGATCTCATTCCGAGCGGTTATCCTTTACACTACCAGCATATCACACCCAAACTTACAGGCATATAATATTCTCAAGCGATCACCCATCTCGGTACTGACCAACTCCAACGTTGCTTAATTTCGGTGATCTGACGAGAGCCGGCATTTCAATATAGGACCATATGCTAGTATGTGGTTAAAAATGATAAATAAGTCTTTATCTTCGAATGTTATGTTTTCTTCGGCGATGCGAGCATTGATCAAACATTTACCAGGAACGTGAGACATAAAACAAAATCTGAGAACCCTTGCTTTAGCCGAATCGCAATTCTGTTGCGCGTTGAATCAAATACTTTTCATTCCTTTGGCTGGAGTTGGCAGTACCGAAAATTTAGAAAACCTAAACAAGAAGACGTTGCAAAACAGCGGATGTAACCAGTTTTATTTCACCAGATGAAAAAGTGAAGAAGACACAATGTAAAAGGAAAGATAAGCTCTCGCGTAATTCTTTGTGTGGATCAATTATTTCTGATATATAGAATAATAATGGGACGAAAAGCGTCGTATGTAGGGAAAGGAAAGTCTCGAACTTTTCCGTATGTGGATTTTGGCAACGTCTGCTACGCTGCTTTACAGATGTGTAAATTACAAGCTTAGCATTGGGTCGACGTATCTCTGTCTCTGCCCGTGGGAACAACATATCTGGACTGATTTGTCGAATTAGACAAGGTTTCCTTTACTTGTTTATCTAGGTGTTAATTAAGCTTGTACGAGCCACAACGAGAAGACAGTCGCCAGCTTTATTTTGAAAGATTCTAACCACACTTTTTTACATGTAGCGGACATTTTTGATTGAGCTGCAGTTTCACGGCACTAACGGTCAACGCCATTCGCGATCGTTCGACAATGGCCTGAAGCATATTCTCGCTACAATAATTCTATAGTTAATTTATGATATCATAGGCAAGATTTATCAAACATATATAAGATGCTACACATGAGATGTTATCAGACTTAAAATCCTGTAAAGTTGAATTTTTTTAATGTTATTTTTTTTTTCCGGAGGTAGGCGATCGTGGCTCTATTAACTGTGGGGTTTCCACGACATTCTGGGAAAGATATGAGATGCTTCCCATCTAATTTCTCCACGGTTTTCAATTAAGAATGGTTCCTTTTCTAGACTGGCTGTCAATCAAGACTATACAATCCAATCTACCCTGCTAGCTAAAAAAGAGGGAATGGATTCATGCCTTTCGTATGTATCGGTGTGAAATTGAGTGGAATAGTCTAGGCCGGAATTTGAACTCAGTTTTCCGGTTCTGCTCTCTCCGCCGATAGCCGTTCTGCTACCTACACATGTATGAAATCTGTAAATTTCAAATATTAAAATCACGAAAATATAAATCAGGATTTTATTTTTTACGACTTAAGTTTTTAAGAAATATTTGGAGGGATAATAATCATTTACTGTCCATAACTGTGACTAATTAACCCATAGCTGGGGGAGAAGAATTGGATTCATAACTTTCCCAAGGGTATTTGGGCGTAAGTGAATATACATATTTCGAAAATAAATGCTTCAGAAAAATCCCCCTCATCTCGCACTGGGCGCACAAGATCAATGACTGTGTATGGAGCAAGGTCAAAAGTGTTGCGGGCCAACAACAGAGATATTAAGCGTTGGGAGATGGTATGATTTGGCCACGTCACACGGCAGAACAGCCTTTTCAAGACCATGATGCAAGGCACTGTTGAAGGGAAGCACAAGCGTGGACGGCTATACAAGACCTGGTCAGACAACATCAAAGGTTGGACAGACCTGACAATGCCGAAACGACTGAGAAGCAACAGATCATCCTGGAATAGGTTGCCTATTTGTTCTGCCTTTAGGTCCCCGCCCCCAGCGATTGACGCAGTCAAGGGACTGATGATGATGATGATGATGATGATGATGATGATGATGATAGCGAAACGGACTGGAATTGGAACTCGGCCCTCCGATTTCCAGTTCGAGCCATTATTAATTGCACCACCCACACATACAAGTTTACAGCACCTACTTATAGTATTCTCAAGAGCTCAACCATCTAGGCACTGACCAAGCTTGAAGTTTGGTGATAATACGAGAACCAGTATTGCAAAGTGATATCGCCCCAAGCCTATAATTCAGGAAGAAATACTTACACACACACAGACACACACAAACACATTATATATATATATATATATATATATATATATATATATATATATATATATATATATATATAATAAATTAATTGATTTAAAATATGGTTTTTTAGCTACAGTTCTATATGTTTCAAAATGGAAACTAAAAAGCCCCGAATTTAATTTTGTAATTAAATTAAAGACATTAGTTCCATTTCATCCTCAAGCGAATTTTGGAGTAACTTTTAAAATCACCAAACTTCAAGTGATTTTAAAAGTTACTCTGAAATTCAGTTGAGGATGATGTCTTTAATTTAATTACAAAAATTAAATTCAGGGCTTTTTAGCCCCCATTTTGAAACATGGTTAGAACTGTGTAACCAAAAACATATTTTAAATCAATTGATTTATAATATTAATGCTCTATAAATTTATATATCGATACTATTTTTATAAAAAAAGAAAAAATCTATACGAACACCGGTTATATATGTTTCTGTTTTTTATTTATTTTTATACATACATATATATATATATATATATATATATGTATAAATAAATAAAAAGAAAGAAATATTTTATATATAATCTTTTGTTCTTATTATTATTTTTTATTATCTATTTTTCCATTTTATTTATATACATACATGCATATATATATATATATATATATATATATATATATATATATATATAAATATATATAAATTAAATAAATAAAAAAAAAGAACTTTGGATATATAATCCGGAATAAATAGATATTTTTATTTTTAAAAATTAAATTCTTTGTTTTAGCTTAAATTTTTGAAACATGGTTAGAACTGTGTAGCAAAAAATTTATATTTTAAATCAATTAATATATATATATATATATATATATATATATATATATATATATATATATATATATATATATATATATATATAGGTTTAAAATCAAATGACCAGATATAAGCAACCGCATATGCGTGTGTTATATATATACATAGGCATGCAAATAAATAATGGTCAAATTTAAAAAGGTGTAAACGTAATAATGCTCGATGTGGTTAGACAGAGTAAAGATATACATTAATCAAAGGTGCATATACAAATGCCTACGTTTAGGTGTGCAACTTAAGTTTCGCTGGTTTTCCAGCTCATCGGGCACGAAATAAAAATACACGGTTGACACATGGGAGAGACGCTGGTTCATAGTCCAAAAATAAAATAGTGTACAATTTGTAGAAAATAAATTTCAGGTACTGTTCATTAAAACAAAAACAAAAAAAAGATGCACATTTAAGAGTTAGAAATTTCAAGTTTCAAATTGAATGTTAAAATCGGGGACGAATATTTTCTATGAAAATTTCTCGAACATTCAGGCCAGTAAATGTTGTTAATACTGTTTATTATAAACAGAGCATTTACTTAAATATTTTTATCTATAAAAAAGAATGTATAAACATAAAAATGTCTTAAAAAAATAATTGTCGGACTTTGTCCATTTCATAATGTGTGACTTGTAGATATGTAATTATTTACTTGTTATTTTCCTCTCATAATTATTAGTGCTTTTTTAGAATGACTTTTAAAGAAGTATCCGAGCGCTTTAACTGGTTCTCAGTCTAGTTATATATAGCAACAATCTATGTAAATAGATATTTGCCTTCGATAAGGTTTCTTCATTTGCCAACTCCTCTTCTCGACTATAATTCACTGAAGAATCATTCTAGATCGTTCAGTTTTCATGGCTTCCATTTATGGATAAGCAATTTTCTATTCTAACCACAAATGTTCGATTGGATTCAGGTCAGGCAATTGAGGAGTCCATTCCATTACCTTTTGTTTATTCTTCTGGGGCAATTCTGAAGTGGTTTTCGAAGTATGTTCCAGGTCGTTGTCTTGTCGGAAGAGAAATCGGTTCCCAAACCAAACTTAAATACCTGAGGCTAAAAGATTTTTTTTTTCCGAAATAATAGACAGATATTTTATCGCATCAATTCTCAACTCCATCCTGGTGAGTAAATCGCTACTTGCTACATTATTTAAACAGATTCTAGATTAATTACAACGGAGAAGTGAATTCGATCCTCACTGGATTCTCCGTACTTATTCCACATCTAAGTTTCGCTTAGTAAATCACTATTTGGTTGGGTTGTTTTTTGACGGTTTATCAACCCGTTGTGGATTATTTAAAGCCCAAAATATGTTGGATTTTAAGAATAATTATTTTTCGCTAGTGAATATTACATTAACAAGTTTTGAGAATAAAATTATTTTACAAATACTTAAAAATTAATGAACATATTAAGAAACAGTATCATTTCATAAGAAAGAAAGAAAATAATATTTAAAAGCACAGTAATATCACCTATATGGCGATGAAGGCTAGAGAATCTCCTCCGGGTGAAGAAGAGACTTGTGGCAACAGAAATGTAGTTCTACAGAAGAATGCTGAGGATACCATGGACTGAACGTTTGAGCAACGACAAAGTTTTTAGAGGAAATGGAACCGGAATGAACAATTATACTTAGAATTACAGAGAGACAATTAAAATTTCTGGTTAATTCTCAGTATTAGCACCAAAAGCCAACGGTAATGAAAATGTTCCATTATTGTGTGAAATTGGCTGACTATTTCGAATGTGACAATAAAAGTTTGCTCTAATCATGTCATGCTCACACTGTTTTTTTAAGTGTTGAAATTAAGATTTCACGTAAGAACGTTTTGTACTTTCTGAACATGTACAAAAATATATATATAATTACTATATATATATATATATATATATATATGCAGGACTTTTTGACATTTTGAATAATATCTTTACGGAGCACGAAACACCTGTCAATAATCCACGAACGAAGGTGTTGCTGTGAGGATCTCTAACAAAAAACAAACAAACCCCAAAACCAGGGCAGGTAAGGTCACTTACAACAGCGGAACATTATCTAGGAACCTTCCCAGTGTTTTCTCAAATTTTTCTATTTGTGGCAAGTCTTGTCATCACCTGAAAAATTTT